TTTATTCTGCTTCTGCACAATATTTTACATTTCTACATTTTGAATAAATGATAAAGGACCATGCACGACATTCTTTAGTGGCATAAGCGATTCACAACAATACTCTTTACTTTTATCCAAGTTTATACATAACTATGTATGATGGAAGAGGGTTTGTTCACATTGTAGTGACGCAGTAGGACAGATTGGGAACTAGTATTATTGTAAACAAACAATTCCATTTAGTGAAAAGTCATTTCTCAGGACTATGACGCCATCTTTACAATTTTTTGTTTTTGCTTACAATAAAACAAATTCTTGACTTCCACTCTTGTCCTTATATTTTCTTTATTTCGTGTGGATGGATTTCTACGGCAAAGATTAAAAAACACTACTTTGAATTAGGAATGGCAAACTTTAAATAGAAGTTAAAACTATGTACACTGTTCCTTTAAATAGGTTTTAAATAAAGCAAAAGTGTGTTCTAATTCATCAAAACTATGTTAACTGTTTCTTTAAATAGGTTTTAAATAAAGCAAAAGTGTGTTCTAATAAAACTATGTTAACTGTTCCTTTAAATAGGCTTTAAATAAAGCAAGAGTGTGTTCTAATTCATAAAAATAATGAAATATTTGAATATTACATTATTGATTTATGGGAAAGGGAGAATTCACAAAAACGAAACAGTTACAGAAAACAATTTGTTGTTTTTTTTCTTCAGCAATTTTTCTTTAAAAATTATTCCAATTTGTTTAGTTTAAAAAATGTCCAATATGACTAAAAAGCTTCCATATCTTTTTTCCTTGTGGTTGAGTTTAGTTGTTCTCAATAAATTTTATCATTTTAATTTTTTAACTAACATAATTTGAAATCATTAAAATTTGGTTAGCGACAAAATTCAACAATTAAAATCACCGCATGCAAATAATTCAAAATTTAAATTTTATTTAGATTAAAGAAATAAACAAGAGTTTACATTTAGTAAGAAGATTAAATTTAAACAAATCATTTTTCATCCTAAATAAATATTCATTGAGCTTAATAATAATAAACGTTATCCCCCCCCCCCATATCCAATACCAACTCTCATTTCCATTGAATTCTCTTGGGATTTTTATCTTATACTTCACCCATCACGAACAAACTAACTTATAATTTTTAAAATTGTAAATTTTTGTTCATTAAAACATTTTTCAACAAAACAATGTATTATATGCTTTAACGAATTTGTTTTTAAAAAATAAATTAATTGGCGTATTTTATGTGGTGAGAGAATAAGAAAATAAACAAAAATATAAAGAATGTTGGACAATAAAAGTTCATTTTATATTTGGTACGCTGTACTGTACGCAGGATTTCGACTTTAATTTATTTACATTTATTTTGACATGTCGAAAAAGAAGTTAGGAACTTATTTTTAGCATTTTCAGACGATTTCTGGATGCCCACCGTATTTAACGATATTTAACGAAACATTTTTTTTCAACTTTACTAAATGCATAATTTTAAACATATCAAACATATCCTAAATTTGAATTCTTTAAGTATCTTTAAATATTTTGCACATTTTAAATATTGGGAAACTTGAAATTGAGAAAGTTTTCACTGACACACACCAATACTATGGTTTATTTAATTGGTTTCACTGACACACACCAATACTATGGTTTATTTAATTGGTTTCACTGACACTCACCAATACTATGGTTTATTTAATTGGTTTGCAAGGGACTGTTATAACGTAACTTTCAAAATTCAGATAAAAAAAATTTTGCATTTTCTCAAAGGCATTTACTCAAGCGGCAACTTCAAAAGGATATTGTCCCAAGTCGCAACTTCCCAACCGTTCAATTTCCCGAGTCTGTCCTAGCCGCAGATCTCGATCGGCCCCCTACCCTGTTTTAGCTGCAGCGCTCGGCCCCTATATCAGCTTATACGCAACGCTCGGTCCCCATTAAAGGCCTAACCTAGCTAACCTGTCGCTTGGAAAATTTAACATTTCGGCCTTGGGGAAAATACCTTAGACCGGAAAAAAGGTTGTTTTCTTCATTTTTTCTCTGTCACAGGTTTAAAGGTTACCACTCACCATCATCATCCTCTTCATTGAAATTTTGGCATACAGTCCCTTTGAAGAATAGGATCTTTGACACTTAAAAGAATGTTTATTTATATAATGATAATTATATAAGATTATTCAGACAGACAGAGTTTATTAACTTGTTATTAACTATTATTAAAAGTAAATAGTTACCAGGACATAGTTAATTGTGGACAGGACCAGATCGAACCCCACATCCCATTCAACACTGCTATGGTCGGCAGCTCCTGGCTCTTTAAGACTCACAACAGGTGTATTAAGAGATCCCTATTACAAGCAGTCAATTCTTCAAAAAAAACACTTTCCTAAAATGATCATCCTAGGTTTTTCTAAGTAATTAGTTGGATTTTCAAATAAAAATGCAAAAAAGAATAGAAAAAACCAGTTGGAGTATTTAAAATCAAACGAGCAAAAAAAATGCAAAAAGATTAAATAAAACCAGTTGGAGTATTTATTTAAAAACAAACAAGCAAGAGCCAGCTTTTAGACCATATATCCTTTCGGGTATTCATAAAGTTTGAAATGTCGGAACTCTGAAGTGGCAGGAGCAGATCACCTGTACAAACAACAAGTAATTTGTGTTATTATTTCTTAAAGTTCAAAGAAAATAAAAATATTCTAAAAATTCGGAATTATAAAAATCATAAAAAATTATAACAAATGTGCCTTCAAATAGGGGCACTGGACCCATGCAAGGATCCTTTAACGAAAATTCAACGGTCCAAAATGTAAAAGCGCTCCTGCCCCAACCCCCACAGGCCCCAGCCGGCCATTGGTTTCTTATAAAAATTAGTTAAAATTACCATAAATATATTTATTCAATAATCCAACAAATCCTTTTGGCTCATATCTATAGGTTGTTTTTTTAAAAACCAAGTTTTGTTCGCATTCTTCTAACAGTGAGTACCATTTGCTCTAGCTTATATATATATATATCAGACCTTTCTTCGTCGGAAAAATATAAGGTGAAGCTTCAAGTATTTCTTTAAAACCGCCTTGAATTCAATACATATGATTAATGCAAAATATAAAATCTCTAGTTGTGTTTTAAACTTGTTTTCTAGATCTATAGATTATCTTTATGGCTTCACAGCAAAGCAATACAAACTTTTCTAATTTGTTAAGTAAGCCAACTGTAGAAAAAGTGCGCACCATAGATTAATAACAATACAGATAGAACCCTAGATGTCGTCTTCAAGATTTAAGGGTTTTTTCGTCCACAATAACCGCGTTGAATTACCTAGACAGTGAGAGAGAGCATTTGAATCCCATAATCAATTTTTAAAAAGAAAACAATAATATATCATTGATGTTGTTCAGCCAAAGCTTGGGTACAACTGTGAAACATCACCAATTTTAAAAGAAAAACAAGAATACGTCATTGTTATGGTTCAAGCAAACCTTCCATTGTGAATCCGAAAATTCTTAGGGACACCCTGTATATACTTAATTCCCATGTCTATGGGACACCATGTACATACTTAATTCCCATGTCTATGGGACACCTTGTACATACTTAATTCCCATATCTATGGGACACCCTGTTTATACTTAATTCCCATGTCTATGGGACACCCTGTATATTTTATAAATATTCATCAGTTTCAATTTTAGAGAAAAAAAATTTGGTTCAAGAAGTATAAAAAATGCAGATTCACAGATCAATTAAAACCAACTTGGGATTTATCTTGCTGAAATCTTAACTGTTTAAATTATTAACAGCTTTCTAATCTCTCAATGGGTCATCAAGTTGCAGCACAAAAATATGACAAAAATAGGCAACAAAAAAATATATTATGTTCTAAAACATTTGTAATTCTTAAAGAAATGTTCAAATTGTTCATGACCAGGAGCCGAATCCATTTTTGCAGGACTAATCCAGGATCCCTGATTTGGATACTTAGAACTTACGAGAACGCAATCTTTTTCTTCAATTCAATCCAGGCGGGTAGAAGAAAACAATAATTAAATTCGGCTTAACTGGATCAACAATAGAAATAAATTTGTTAACATTTTTTATTTGAAATACAACATTCAACATTAATCAATATAAATCATAGTAGATTTAATTCAGATTTTGGTTTGATATTTGCAAGCAATTTCTGATGTGGTTACTCATTTATCAGTCATCAATAATTCACAGATCATAAAAAAATCATTTCCAAAGTATCTAAAAAATTAAGGTTTAATTAAACATTGACTGTTGACATCAATTTTGTCTTTTAGGCTGAAATTAAGTCACATTTTTAAAAGCTGGCTCCGAACAAATAATAATTTTCTGATATAGTTTCTTGCGGCTTGCGCAACTATCTAAGAATGCCGCGCACCACTCACATTTTTCGAAATCAGTTTAAACGTTTTCTAAAAAAAATAAACAATTTTCTCCTTATAGACGCAACAGATAGAAGTAAGATTAGTAGAGATCAAAAGCGCTTTTCATCGCATTAAGCCTATACCCCCTTTCATTTTTCGCGAACAATCCCTTTAAGCAACAATGTTCGTTGAATAATAAAAATGCTATTCAGTGAACTGGTCTTGACTTTAAAAAAAAGTTACACGAAATAAAAAGTTAAAAATAAGAAGTTTGTTGTTGTGGAAGAGCTTAAAAAGCTTTGTCTGAATGAATTAGTTATCAATGATCAATGATCATCATTTTGAATACAGATTATTTTCAATTGCAGTTTCTCTACAAAAAAGACTTGGGCATTTCTACTGCAAGAAAACATGTAGGAGCTATGCAAAGTAAATACTTTTAAACCTAGAAGAACGACCATATCTTCCAGATTAAGTTACACGAAATAAAAAGTTAAAAATAAGAAGTTTGTTGTTGTGGAAGAGCTTAAAAAGCTTTGTCTGAATGAATTAGTTATCAATGATCAATGATCATCATTTTGAATACAGATTATTTTCAATTGCAGTTTCTCTACAAAAAAAGACTTGGGCATTTCTACTGCAAGAAAACATGTAGGAGCTATGCAAAGTAAATACTTTTAAACCTAGAGGAACGACCATATCTTCCAGATTTGAAGAATGGATCAGTTTCGATTAAAACAATATACTTTTGACAAACCAACAGAAGCTTTAATAAAAAGAAATACTTGTTGGTTTAAAAAAGGACTTTGCGACAATTCTTTGCGTTGCAACGACATTCTGTTTTTTGAACTACAGCGTTGGAGGATTCTTTCTTTTGTCCTGGAGTACCCACTCGACCAGGAGTACCTAGTCGTCCGGCCGACGATTCTCCAACTTTGGCTCTGTGAGGGGTCTTGCAGGGGGAATCAGGGGAGTCCTCGGAGTCTAAATATTAAAGTTAGTCTGAATTTTGAGAGAATTGTTTTTCCGATTTTTAACTCGCGAATTCATGACTTCTAGAAAAATTAAATATTTCATTAAATATTAAATCTTGTTGGCAGATAAGAGATCAGCGAATCTAAAATAAAATACATCAGGTTTAATAGCCATCTTGGTATTCTAAGCAGGTTATATCATAACTGGGGTTGTTAATCGTTCTGTGTCCGAATTTAATGAATTTAAGCCGCGGCTTAAATCTGCCAAACCCCGGTTTCAATTGAACGCCGGCTTAAATCTGGAAAAATTTAATACAATTTTAAGTAGAACCAACCATATTTGAGCCGCAGCTTCAATTCAAATATTAACAGTTTTTCCAAGATTGATAAATCTGAATTTCGAAAGGCTGCCGATTTCCCAGAAATCGATAAATTGATTTCGACATTGCAAAATGCCAAAAGAGCAGGGTGTGGGGGGGGGAGGTACAATAATTCCTAGTTGTGAATCTTTTTTAAAGTTTTTGTTTTCTAAATACCAAATAAAGTAGTCTGTCATCTGTTCTCTTTTTAAGGATTTACATTTTAAACTATAAGGTTGGAATATTATTCATTATTTTGAAACAAATTCCCTGTCTTTAATTATTAAAACAATATTCTTCATGATGACACCCCCCCCCCC